TTGTTCTTGCTGCTGTAGGTTTGATTAATACAATTCCATCTTCTCATATTTCAGGTTTTTATCCTTTCGAAATGTTGTATGGGTATGCCCCTTATTATTCTTTCTTTAGAGTTTTTGGTTGTACTTGTTTCGTTCTTCGTCCTCATGTAGAATGCAGCAAGTTGTCATCTCGATCTGCTATTTGTGTCCTTCTTGGTTATGATGAAGGCAAAAAGGGGTATCGTTGTTTTGATCAAATAACTCAGAAATTTTATGTGCCTCGTCATGTTGTCTTTCTCGAGTATATCCATTTCTTTTCTATTCCATCAACTACTCATAGTTTGACTAGATCTGATTTTATCGTATAGATTTTTTTCTAACGACTCTGATAGTTTGTCATCTCAAATTCTTAGAACTTCAAATATTGATCATTCTGCATGTATTGACACTTTACTCTCTGGCACATCTTAAGCTCTCTCTTCTCCTATGGTCCCTCAAGCTCCGTCTGAGACTGTGGATCCACCACTACGTCAATTCATACGCATTCGTAAGTCTACAAAGTTACCATATTGTGCTTATTCTTGTTATTCTTCATCTTTTACATCCTTTTTAGTTTCTATTCGTTGTCTCTATGAGCTATCTTCCTATAAAGAGGCAATTCTTGATCCTCTTTGGCAGCAAGCTATGGATGAGGAACTTTCTGCTTTGCATAAGACTGGTACTTGAGATTTGGTTTCTCTACCTCCTGGTAAGAGTGTTGTTGGTTGTCGTTGGGTGTATAAGATTAAGACTAATTCTGATGGATCAATTGAGCGATACAAAGTTAGGTTGGGTGCAAAAGAGTACTCTCAACAATATGATTGGATTACGAGGAGACATTTGCTCCTGTTACAAAAATGACTACTATTCGTACTCTTATTACAGTAGCTTCGATTTGTCGGTGGCATACCTCTCAACTTGATGTTAAAAATGCCTTCTTGAATGGAGATCTACAAGAAGAAGCTTATATGACTCCCCCTCCTTGTGTTCCACATGATTCTGGGTATGTTTGCAAGTTCAAGAAAGTGTTATATGGTCTCAAACATGCACCTTGTGCTTGGTTTGAAAAATTTTCTGTTGTGATCTCTTCCCTTGGATTTGTTTCTAGTAGTCATGATTCAACTCTTTTTGTTAAGTGCACTGATACAGGTCGTATCATTCTATCTTTATATATTGATGACATGATTATTACTGGTGATGATATTGATAGTATTTCAGTTTTAAAGACAGAGTTGGGTAGACAGTTTGAAATGAAGGATTTGGGTTCTCTACGATATTTCTTGGGTATTGAGGTAGCCTGCTCACTTAGTGGTTATCTTCTTTCTCAGTCGAAATATGTTGCAGATATTCTTGAACGGGCTCGACTTACTGATAATAAGACTGTTGATACTCCCATTGAGGTTAACGCAAAGTATTCTTCTTCTGATGGTTTGCCTTTATCAGATCCTACTTTATACCGTACTATTGTTGGGAGCTTGGTATATCTCACTATTACTCGTCCAGATATTGCATATGCTGTTCATGTTGTTAGTCAGTTTGTTGCTTCTCCTACTACAGTTCATTGGGCAGCTGTTCTTCGTATTTTGCGATATCTTCGGGGTACAGTCTTTCAGAGTCTTTTACTTCCATCCACATCTTCCTTGGAGCTGCATGCATACTCTGATGCTGATCATGACAGTGATCCCATAGATCGCAAGTCCGTTACTGGTTTCTGTATCTTTTTTGGTGATTCTCTTATTTCTTGGAAGAACAAGAAACAATCTATTGTTTCTCAATCTTCAACCGAAGCAGAATATCGTGCTATGACATTTACTACCAGTGAGATTGTTTGGTTACGTTGGTTACTTGGAGATATGAGAGTTTTTCTTTATCATCCAACTCCTATGTATTGTGATAACCAGAGTTTTATTCAGATTGTTCACAACTCGATTTTTAATGAACGAACTAAGCACATTGAGATCTATTGTCACCTTGCTTGTCATCATCTCAAGCATGACACAATTACTCTGCCATTTGTTTTTTCTTTTTTACAGCTTGCACATTTCTTTACCAAGTCGCATTCTATTTTTTGTTTTCGTTTTCTGGTTGGCAAACTCTCAATGCTTGTAGCTACCGCATCGTGAGTTTAAGGGGAGATGTTAAGAAATACATGGTTAAATATATGATTATTTTATTTTATTGTTTATTAAGAGTAGAATAGTCTTTTCAATTTCTTTTATTTAGCTTATATATAGTCTCTTTGTTTCTAAGTTATTTTATTCTTTTGTATTCAATTGCATTGTGAAGAATTAATGAAACTCTAACCTCCTTTTTCCTTTTCTTTATTTCTTTGAATTATTTAACAAGATTGTCTTAAGAAACATACATTACCCTACTAAGAAAATACCTAATCAAACAAAACTTCAAGATAGTGATTGGTGAAATTACAAAAAAATAATTAATAAAACCCTATAACTAGTTTATAAAAACTTAATTATATTTTTAATTGTTCGGGAAGAATATTTATGCCCAATCACGGTACAAGCATTCATACCCTAACAAAAATCTTCGTTGAAGGTACATTATAATCTTCGCAAATCAAAATTCGTGGAAAAACGAAAGACGTTTTTCTTAATAAAATCTTTTTATGTCGAGAATTCGAGAGGTATTTTTGTGTATCAAAAAAAATAATAAAAAATGCGTAGTAAAACATTGGAATAGGTTGAACTGACTTAACTCAAAAAATACTCATTAATTAGAGGGAACAAAACCATGCAAATATAAATTCATAATTAAAGAAAATAAAACAAAAGGGAAAAATTCCACAAGTTTGGCATTGAATGGTTAAAATATGTAGCATTCACATGAATCCAAGCAAATTACTTTCTTAAGCAAAGTGCAGTTAGGTCATGCATATCAAATTGAAGTGCACATCAAATCATGTGAATTGAGAAAATACTATTAATTTGCGGAAAAATTTGAGTAGCGAAGAAATGCATTTTTGATGAATTATCGATCCTTTTTGTATAGGGGTTGTTAAATGAGGCAAGTCAAGTTACTCGAATCGTCTACAGTCAAGCTCAACTTAGCTTGTTAGAAGTGCCGACTCGCTCAACTAGAGTTTAGCTCAGTTCGCGCACATCTCACTAATGATGCTAATCGAGCTTACGAGTTGCTCATCCCAATTCAATACATCTGCTTTTGCACAACTACTTGGAAATGAAAGCTCCCAAATTAGGAGGGGGGGAATCAATAATTTTGGTAGATTAATTGACTCAATTGATGTGATATATAATTGAACTTCAATTATTTGATTTATCAAAGTATTTTCTTCTTTCAACAAATTTGACCATATGGAATCCATTTATGACTCAGTAAGGGGTTCCGAATTTTCAAAAATATTACATATTCTAGATTAAATATAAGTGCGGACTTATGTATGTATTGGATTTATTTTGACCAAGAACATTACACATGAATATACGGCGGTGATCAGACTATTTATTTGGAATTTCTTTCTAATTTTCATTGTCTCTTTTCTTGATATGTCTACGTGTTTACCTATTCTAGGACAAGATTTAATTTTTTTTTTCTCATTTTATATTTGACGTTGATTGTGGTATACTTCAATCTACGTCCAAATCAACAATTTGGTCAAATTTCAATTCATCATATTCCAGTCATACCAAGACAATTTGGTCAAAATTCAATTCATGCATCCTTAATGTCAACTATACATTTGATTGCAAATAAAACTTTTTCGTCACCAATATCAATAATAAAATAAAATAAAATTTTGTTGTCAAACAAAATACACTCACACCCATTAGGAGTGGCCATCGGAGTGTTACGAATTGGACCAAACTAATTTCTTTTGAAATATGTGAAAATGGAACATCAATTCTATAAAAAATAAATTGTTAATTTTCTTATTTCATTTTTACTTTTTTTTTTTTAAATTTTAAATGATAGAACCGTCAATTATTACATATTAATAAATTCATGTAAGTTAACATAAATTATGATTTATTTGATATTTTTAGAGTTGAATAAAAATTTGGTTATGAAGCTAAAATCGGGAATGAGATTATTATAATTCGATTCATGATTCTAAGATCGAGAACTGAATTGGGATTGACGGATCCGAGTCTAATGGTTTTAGAATAAAATGCCATCTTATAATCAGCATAGACATGTGTGTGTATATATATATAGGATTATGCTAAATGTACATAATCTTTTACACAATTCTTTACACTCCTCTCACATGGAAGGGGGCCCACACATGATAAAATATTCGTGGGCCCCCCTCCGTGTGAGGGTGGTGTAAAGAATTGTGTAAACAATAGAGTGTACATGTAGCACAACTCATATATATATATATATGAGGAAATTATACGCACACATACATACATACATACATATATTCATACATACATAAAAAAGTCACATACAGGCAAAATAGAGCCCAATAGTTGAAAGAAAAGGTATTTAAAGTTTTGAATGTGATGGTACGGATACTTTTCCAAATCTGTCCAAAACCCAAACCAAAAGGCTGGCGGCGGCTGGCCGCTGCCCTGTGCGCCTCTTTCTTAGTCAACTCGAAGGCCAATACTCTCTCTCTCTCTCTCATCCTATACATACACATATACATACATTCATGATGTTTCTCTCACAAATACATGAGCTGGAGGGAGATTCCGTGTGTGGGATTCGAGCTGTATTTGGAAGGCCCATTCTCTACCCCCCACCTATATATACCCCTTTGGTTCACTCCCCTTTCTTCATCAAAACCCATAACCCATCTAAACCAAAAAAGCTACTAATTGTCACTACTGATAATACTCTCTCTGTACTATTGCCATTCCATCTGTTATTATTACATAATCATGGAATTCATCTGCTTATGTTTTTTCTTAATTGCAGCTTTAATTTTGTCCCTCAATGCCATCTTTAAATTCTTCTCATTTGGCCAAGTGAAATTGCCACTCCCACCAGGCACAATGGGATGGCCTTACGTAGGAGAAACCTTTCAACTTTACTCCCAAAACCCAAATCTTTTCTTTGCTTCCAAAGTCAAAAAGTGAGTCCAAATTCTCATACTATGATCCCTTAATTTGATTTTCTTGATTTCAAGATTCTTACGTAGCATGTTTTTCTTGTTTGTTTTGATTTTTACTAGGTATGGTTCTATATTCAAGACTCACATATTGGGGTGTCCTTGTGTGATGATTTCGAGTCCCGAAGCTGCAAAACTTGTGCTTGTCACCAAATCAAATCTCTTCAAGCCCACATTCCCTGCAAGCAAAGAGAGAATGTTAGGCAAACAGGCTATTTTCTTTCATCAGGGCGAGTATCATGCCAAACTCCGCAAGCTAGTTCTTAGCGCATTCATGCCTGAATCGATCAAAAACATTGTACCAGATATTGAGTCCATTGCAATTAGCTCCCTCAAATCATGGGAAGGAAAATTGATCACTACATTTCAAGAAATGAAAACAGTATGTTCTACCTTAAGAAAACAGAGCCCCCTGTTTTTTCTCTCTATTCCTCTGTTTTTAAATCTGAAACATTGAGTTCTGATCAAAACTGTATGTTTTTACTATCCTGCAGTACACTTTCAATGTGGCTCTACTGTCCATATTTGGAAAGGATGAAGTTTTGTACAGAGAAGACCTCAAGAGATGCTATTACAATCTCGAAAAAGGGTACAATTCAATGCCGATTAACACTCCGGGAACATTGTTTTATAAAGCCATGAAAGCCAGGAAGGAATTGGCACAAATCTTGGCCAAAATCATGTCCCTTCGCAGGCAAACGAAACAAGATTATAACAATTTGCTCGGATCATTTATGTGCGATCACGAACGACTTACCGATGAACAAATTGCCGACAACATCATTGGCGTCATTTTTGCTGCAAGAGACACCACTGCTAGTGTTCTGACATGGATTATCAAGTACCTAGCAGAAAATCCAAGCGTTCTACAATCTGTCACTGTAAGATAATAAATCCCACTTGCATATATTACAATAATCGAAAAAAGTTCATGCAGGGGACTCAAAATTTTTTTATTGTTTTTGTTATTACAGGAAGAACAAGAAGCAATAAATAAGTCTAAAGAGGAATCTGGTGAAGAGAAGGTACTGACTTGGGCAGATACCAAGAAAATGCCAATTACCACAAGGGTGATTCAAGAAACACTCAGAGTTGCATCTATTCTATCTTTTACTTTCAGAGAAGCTGTTCAAGATGTCGAATTTAACGGTAAGTTAAAACCAAAATATAAGAAAAAAATTTGGAAAAACTTACCCTTTTGCATTGAAATTTGGCTAATATTTATCTACTGATAAATTTACAGGCTATTTGATACCAAAAGGATGGAAAGTTTTACCACTCTTTAGAAACATTCACCACAGCCCAGAAAATTTCAGAGACCCTGAGAAGTTTGATCCTTCAAGATTTGAGGTAAATTTACCATTCTTGGGACACAAAATTCATTGACTTTACCGTAAACTTTCTTCACTCCTTAGGCCTAAGCTAAAATCTTTTCTATCTACAGGTTGCTCCAAAGCCCAATACATTTATGCCATTTGGCAATGGGATCCACTCCTGTCCAGGAAATGAATTAGCCAAGACTGAGATTTTGGTCCTTGTACATCACCTGACCACAAATTACAGGTAAAAAAACCTTAAAATTAACAGTCTTTTCATAAGTCGTAAAAATTTCACTGTTATCACTTATCAGATATAGTATGTTTGATGTTATCTCCTTATGGAAAGTTTGTTCCTATCCTTACAGGTGGTCTATGGTGGGCCCACAAAATGAGATTCAGTATGCACCCTTTGCTCTTCCCCAGAATGGTTTGCCCATTAAACTCTCTCTCAAAAAGTAGAAATTTGCATTTACAAAATCAGGGCCATTCTGATATTGAGAAAGGGGAAGTTTCAAGAAATTCTCCAGAGTTTCTTGATGAAGAAGAGATCATCAGCTCACATGAAGAGGAACATAACAGTCAAAAACAAAAAAGATACCCACGACAAGACGATTTTGGGAATTAAACCGGTTCGTGGAAGCCATTTGTACATAAATGGCATGTTTGATACATTATATCGGAGATGACTGGATGGTATAATCAACTATCTATCACGGATAAAAGAGTTCTGGTGGCTAAAGTAAAAAGGACATGATAATTATTTATTTTTCTTACAAGATTAAAAACTCAAGAATTAGAAAATACAAAGTGTTAGATACTAGGTTCAATTCTTTTTTCTTCTTTTCTTTTCTTTTCTTTTTTTTTTGACATGTAAAAAGTCCGCAAGGCAATCAATGAAAATTCAATTTGAAATTCTTACACATGTTTTCATTTTTATGGGATTAATTTTGGCCTTCAGAGTTTCATTTTCAGACCCTATATATATTTTTTCCGAATCTGTCTATTTTATTTTGCATTTTTAGACAAATCCAGGTACGTGCAGAAATCATTGCCAGGTTTGCTGACAATAGGAAAAAATAAAAAAAAAAATTAAAATATCTAGTAATTGAAATAATTGTATAGTGCAATAATTATTTTTGGACACTTGGCTGTTATATAGCTGGATTATCATCCTTAGTCAAGAACAACAGTTGAGAGCTTCAAATGCTGAGTTTGAAAGTCTAATTTTGTGGGTTGGATGAAAGTCCGAACAAATTAAACACTATTTTATATTTAAATGGACTATTTGACCCGAAACGTGTAATCTTACCGAATATCTTTTATAATTTAAGTTGAATATCATTATTCTCATGTTCTTACTTCGACTTCGCTTTAATAACTTATAAAAATCTAAAAAACTCTTACTCGGCACACACACACAATCATGTACGTATCGTATTCGCTCTCGAAAAAAAGTTTAGGTTGTTTCTATCTTGACAACCCCATTGTAAAACTTGAATTGATTAATGACAACATGTCTTTCTCAATCTCTAAAACAGTGAGTGTAACATCAGCAAGAATGGACCACATTCAATAATTTTCCTTTGTGACTTTTCCATAATTCAATATCATAACTAAGCCCCATTTGCCCCAATTATTTTTCATTAAATTATAATTTATTTTTATCTCTTCTTATTAATCACACATTTTTAATAAAATAATATTACACGTAAACCCAAAAACTTTTACTTCTTTTTTAATTACACATTCTTCAAAAAATTAATATTCATCTCATTATAATATGGAATAATGGGGTCAAACGGGTCCAGTAGTTGACTTTGGGACCTTTTGATATTATGAACTTAAGACACCCATCCTTCTCATTTGTTAGCCATTCAAGCCATAACCGTGTTAGAGATTAAGCCTTAGTCTTAATTAATCAAGCAACCGAGGAGCATGGGAGGTAGCGCGAAAAAATGAAAGTGTAGCTCAACTTGTTCTCACTCACTCACTCTAGGATTTAGTTTATTTGAACTACTGAGGATAACGCTCATGGCCTATAGTCTACTTGAACAAAATGATAGATCGCGTAGAAAATTTCGAACTTTCAAAAGGAATAAGAGAAATTGCCCTCTACTCCCCTTCCCTACTCACCCCACCTTCAAAGTTCAAACTATTACAATTATATTTTTCAAGAATTGTCTCATTCAAATAACTTTTCCTCAAAAGGTAATGTGATTAGCTGTTTCAATAAAGAGTCATAATTAAGTGTCTAACAATCTTTCCAATTGTCCAAAATGTTGGCATCATTGCTTTCGTAAATTTTGTTTCTTCAATGCAAATAAATTATCTTTATTCCAGTTATTTGATTTGGTTGTTCTTTCATCGTCAAAAAATCTATGAATCCATCTTTTGTCATCAATCTTACAACTTAATTTATTGAGTAATGATATTCATCCCCATTGAAGTTAAACTCCAATTTATGTGGTAATTACGTGATATTAAATGATATATTCATTTAAATACAAAGTCATATGACTCATTTATTTGAGTCTATCATTTAATGTCATGTAATTGCCACATAGACTGGGATTCAGCCCCAATAGAGATGAATAACATTATTCTAATTTATTTCACTTCGAGTCGAGGAAAATCGAGGAAAATCAAAGAAAATGATGACTCAATTATTTATTGAACATCTTGCTTAGACCTATAGAGATACTCGTTCCAAATCTGAATACAAGAGTTAGAAGAATGAAATGTAAACTTGAGGTAATGTTAAGACATCTCCATGTAATATTATTATCATATATTCGCAATATACAAGTGGGGAGTATGCTAACCATCTGGTAAACATTAAATCTTCTGTAACAATGAATCAAATAACGGAAAAGATGGACGTAGTCGACTGTAAACTTGCGAGTACTTCTCCATGACCTAGCTAATAATAAAATGAAAATTAATTTGAAAGTGGGCATTTATATTTTGGATAATTCTATTTGTACAATCGATCTCACATGTGTGCGGAGTCCGTGTGTTTAAATAGTTTAACAACAAAAAAGTGGACCCCTCATGTAAGTGGTTGTCAACCTCGATTGTACAACTAGCATGGTCCTTATATTTTACATTCAAACCAATTAGAGATCATAACGAGTTGACTCTACATAATATTACCATTAAACAATGCTTTATGTAAGAATTTATAATACTATTTTATTAGTACTTCAAAATAAGTTATACATAATTTTACTAAGGGTGCGTTTGATTGCAATGGTGGAAAATGGGTGGAAAGAAAATGTTTTACAGGGAAATGATTTGCCTAGAAAATGTTTTGTAGGGAAAATGATTTTAAGTGTGTTTGATTGGTATAATTTTCCACCCGGAAAATTTTTAAATTTTCTATTCGTTTGACTTGGTTTTACATGAAAATTGTCCATTAAAGTGATATTTTTTTTCACAATTGGTTATAAAATTNTTTTTTTTACAATTGGTCATGACATTTGTTTCCATTGCCAAAAAAAAAAAAAAAATTGAGCAGCCGGCCGGAAAATATTTTCCCACCAAAATGGTGGGAAAATATTTTCAAGGATTTCGTGAAAAATGCTGACGGGTGGAGTGGGAAAATATTTTTCGTGAAAAATTTAGGCTATCAAACAGCGCAAAAGATTGAAAATGCATGAAAATTGTGGCTAATCAAACACAGCCTAAGAGCTGACAATAAGATAGTTAGGACTTTGTTCAATAAGTCAAAATCCATCATCCTACGTTTCTTGACAAAAGGGCAGGTTAAATGCAATGTTGGTTATGAGATTTTGAGGGTCTGACATGAACTTCATAAATTAGGTCCTAAAAATTAAAATTTGACAAAGGTTTCTAATATTCTTATCCGCACCCTTGGGAGGTCATTTTGTATCATGTGGATTTATGGAGTAACGCAGTAATTCATAGAATGATACTTATAAGAGAGCATATATTCACATCTTACAGATAGATAAAATCTTACTAAGAAAAATATTCGATCTCTTAGAGAAAATTCCTGTGTCCAATGGATATCTTTATTGAAAATGATTGATGTACATTAACAACAAGCTCTCTATGTGATCTATTGGAGGAAATTGCCAAATCTTATGCAATAACATTGAGTTTGGCACATAGTATTTTTATTATTAGATAAGACTAGATATTACAATGAACCACATTTTCACATTTTTGCTCATTTAATTCTAAACAGACAACGTTCTATCAATTCGTGCAAAAAAATCTCATTGTTACTCTTGAATTTTGAATTGAAGATCCAAAACACAAAGAAACTAAAGAAATAACATTTGATTCCCAATCAATTAATTGGAATCTCACAATGAAAGAAAAATTTTAGTTCACTTGAAGCATCAAATAAATTCAATTTCCCATACAAACATGGCATAAGAGCTGGTAGGCATCTGAAAGTTCTTAAGAATTTCTACCTCAGCAATAAACAAACCCCACAAATATAACAAACCATCTATTAATCTTCATAGTTACACAATGTTTATTCAAAACTTGTATTATAATCGTATATATGTATATAAGTATAAAAATCCACACTTAAATATGAAAACAATACTTGAATAAGGCTTATGCTATTCCTTTTAAATATGTGTAAAAGAACACATTAATTTTTGAATTTTTATGCAAAGTGATGATACCAAAAATTCATACCTGGGTTGACCCGATTGAAACTCCGCGCGCTATGATCTTCAATACTTGAAACAAAGGCCTCGAAGTGTATCATCGTCGTCCCTCCGATACTTAAATCAGAGAGAGGAATGACAGAATCGTATGCTATTATAGAAAAAACGTACCTGAAGAATGAGGAGGGGATACCTATTTAAAGAGGCTGGTGGCCGAGTCCTAGACGGACTAGTATTCCCTTATGGGAAGTGTTTGTGTTGTGCTGAGATTGTGTTATTTTGAGATAAGGTGAGTTTTATGGTAAGTTGGTGGTCTAATGGTTGAGTTGAACTAATATTCTATGGTCACGTGCGGTTGGAGGAAAGCACGTGAGGTAGGGACTGAGAGGTCGATGTACTCGTCTGGGACACCCTCGACCTCGACCTCATACAATCTGTTGTGGTGCCCAGCAAGCAAAATGATGATCTCGAGTTCAGGTTTATTACCTCAAAGGATAAGACCTCGACTCGACCTCGACCTCAGTGGCCCACATAATTGGGATGAATGGGATAAATCGATCTTGAGGTCAGGTACGGGGTTATCACAAAGTACTCTTTGCATTCAAAAGATTAAAATTTTATGAAAGAAAGGTATAACTTCCTGTGGGGTGGGAAAATATTTTTCGTGAAAAATTTAGGCTATCAAACAGCGCAAAAGATGGAAAATGGAAAAAATGAAAATTGAGACCAATCAAACACAGCCTAAGAGCTGACAATAAGATAGTTAGGACTTTGTTCAATAAGTCGAAATCCATCATCCTACGTTTCTTG